TGGTTATGAATTGTACTGAAGTGATAAGTGAACCAATAATAGTAATTCTCACTCTCAATCACTAACCAATATATTTATGAGTTTAGTTAAGTGTTTTGACAGATAAAGGTTTTAGTGATAATTTCAGTATAAATCTGTTTTTATTGTCAACAAATTTAATATAAATAGTTGTGAAGAGGAAATGTTTAGATGAAGTTGTCATTTGACTCAAACATGAATTATTTTAAATCATTTTTGTTGGCAATTCTGGTCTCCAATGCATTTGCAGAGAATTTACGGCTTTATCCGCGAGAATCAGAGACCAGAGATGTGAAGACTTTGGATGGCTTTTGGAATTTTCGGGTCATTTCTGTAGACGACGACCAAAATATTGGTTTCACTCAAAAATGGTATACAAAGTCATTAGAATCGGTAAGACATCCAAATCCAGTATTAATGCATTCATTGTATTGTATAATATTGTAATTAATTTAATAATACACTAAATATTTATTACCCGTATTTACGTTACTTTATAAAGACAGGAGATGTGATCCCAATGCCGGTGCCCTCGAGTTTTAATGACATAACTCAGAGTCGATTCATACGAGACTACGGCGGATGGGTTTGGTATGATCTGTCGTTCTTCGCGCCCCTCGAATGGAAGGACAAATCGGTGACTCTTCGGTTTGGAAGCGCTCACTACCAGACAATTGTCTATTTGAATGGAGACAATGTGTTGAACCACACCGGAGGACACTTACCATTTGAGACATATGTGACTAAAACGTTAAAATATGGTGAAAGTAACTTAATCACAGTGGCTCTCAATAACATACTATCGGCCACTTCTATACCTCAGGGATCCGTTGTCTATAAAAACGATACAAAACTATTCCCAAAGGGTTTCTACGAAATGAAAGGAAATTTTGATTTTTTCAATTACGCCGGTATTCACAGACATGTCTTCCTCTATGCCTTACCAAAGGATCACATAAAAGACATATCAATTACAACCGATATTAAAGACACCAAAACAGGTATTATTGCATACAAAGTAGAGCACAGCGAACAGACCTCCAAAGCTGAATGTGTTGTCGACGTGTTGGACAAAAAGGGTAATCAAGTCTCGACGGGTAATAAGGGTTATTCCGGAGCCATAACTATACCAAACGCCACATTCTGGTGGCCGTACACTACGGACCCAAATCCCGGATATCAATACACTTTGAGAGTGTCTCTCACCGAAAATGATAAGACAATAGACGTCTACTATTTGAAAGTTGGTATCAGAACTGTTAGGGCGACAGAAAAGGAGTTTCTAATCAATGGAAAGCCCTTTTACTTCAGAGGGTTTGGCAAACACGAAGACGCAAACGTATTGATGAGATATTATTTTTATTAAATCTACCATTTATATAATTTGTCTCAAATTTATAGATTAGAGGGAAAGGATTGGATTTGCCGTTCATAGCGAAAGACTTTAATCTAATGAAATGGATTGGCGCCAACTCTTTCCGCACATCTCATTACCCGTATTCCGAGGAACTGATGGATATGGCGGACGAGACCGGGATTGTGGTCGTCGA